TTTTTTTTTCGTGTGTTCTTGTTTCGTCGAAAATTAAAATTTGAATGAAAATATGCAGAATATGCTTAGCTTATTCATAATCATTTCATTTTCTTTAACAGACTAATTCAAAAAAAATGATTCTGAATGGATCTCAAAAACATTTATTAAGAGCATTACAAAGATTGCACAGCTAATGGAGTCACCTCACTAATATCGAAAGGGAAAAATGCTGACATTTACAAACACCGAGCTGTGAAAATGTTGAGATGTTAATAGTGTTGGATGTGTGGGTAGGCAATCAGAAAGCTATCACCCACGTTCTCATATATACCGAAACAATCACACATTCTCATCCTAACCCCTATTTGTCCACAACTAAGGTTTGTTGTTTATAACCACTAACTAAATATTTGGATCAAGGATTTCGATTTACAAATAAATTTTTCGTAGTGGTATTGGATCGTTGGTTGAATGATTTAACAATAGAGTTTAATTTGTTTCTTTGATGCCTCTTAGTCTATTCAAGAGAACGAAAGCAATTAGAATAAGCTACTTATATTCTTCATCTTTTCTTTCAATTTTATTTTTCGACGAAACGAGAATGCTACAAAAAAATTTTTCGACGAAATAGGAACACTGGAAAAACAGCTATATAAAAATTTTCGACGAAACAAGAAAATCAATTAAGCTTTCGACGAAACGAGAATTCACCAAAAATTATCAGTAAAGAAATAAACCTATCAATGTAAAATTTGATGTTCAGTAGCTATTATGTTTGCTTAGTAAATTAATAATTTGTACGTCAGTAAGAATTAGAGAATTAGTAACTAATTCAGTTTGCTCATTTAAAAATTCATTGACTCACTAGATGAATAGTATTTTACCAGTAATTATTATTTTTTTTTGTGATGAAAATAATTTGGTGTAAATAGAAGAATGACTGTTCTCGTTGAGTGATGATGACATCATCCATCAAAATATGTTTTCTTCTTCCTTCAGGTGAATATATCTTTCAAACTTTCTCTTCTTTTGATATAGTTCAAGTAGTTTCTCTCTCTCTCTCTTTAATGTTTTCTTCCGAGTGTCATTAGTCTTTTTCCTAATTGGGTGAATGTGGGTAAAAAGAAAATCCTCATCTACACTGGTGAAAAAAGATATAGTGGTAGATCATCAAGAACCAGAACAAGCATTACTGATTCAATAGATTTCTGTTACTTGTAATTATATTATTTTTACTGAAATATTACTGAGCTTTCGAATTATTTACTGTACTAAAAAATGGGTTTTTTACTGATCAATTAAATACATGCCGAAATAATTCATTTGAACAAGAGTTTACAAAACAGCCTCACATTAAACACAACAATTAAAAAAAACTTTTTTTTAAAAATTTTATCAATAGAAAACTAACGGTTTTTGTTGTGTACATTGCAATTTTCTGAATATTCTATTATTTTGATTGTATGAGTTATACAGTAATTGATATTTATTGTTATATTCAAGTTTTAATATTATTAGAATAGAAGATGATTACTTAATTGAGAATTATTTATTGCATCATTTTGAAAATATTTATGTACTTCTATTTTTGAATTTAAGTAATTCAATGACATTCACTAAATATCCAAATTTTTTTATAAGAACTATTATGCGTCATATACCATTAATTGCACTATTTAGAGAAAAAAAAATTAAGTTTCAATTTCATTAGTACGTATAATCATTGATTTTTGCTTTCATATCATAATTATAAGATATACACGTAATATAAGACATCTTTACCTTTAAAAATCTCTTTCGTCATTTGTTCGATTCAAGTATTTAAGAAAATAAAATAAAATATCTATATAGAACTTCAGTTTTTAATATTTAATTATTTATTTTCAAATTCTAAATAGAAATATATTTTTGTCATTAATGATTTCAAAAAATTTCTATTGACTAATTGCTGAAAATTCATGAATCATTCAATTTTCTCATGTTCCTGTTATTCGAAAGCAATTATAACGAAAATTTATGATTATTACAAAAAAAAAAAATATCTAGTTACCGTATCATAAATAAACAGAACATCGATGCATCAATCAAATTTTATCAATCAATACCTGTCTCCATATATTCATATAGATAAATATTAATGCGAAATAAATTATAACGAAAAATTGTATTCATTGCAAAAAAACAAAAAAAAATACTTCCTCACTGTATTGATAAGGTATTTCTATTTTTTTTATACGTCAATGATATTTCTTATTAGAAAATTACAAAAAAGCTATTCCAATATTCAAGAGCTACCCTAGCAGTCGATTTTTTTCAAAACGAAATATTCATCCGTATAACAAAAATAAGTGAGTAAAAAACTGCGTAGAAAGTATAATGTAATCCATATGATCAAACTATTCAATCTATAAAAATGTTCAATTCTATTATTTTAAATTATAGTAAATATAAGATTGTAGACAGAATTGAATTGTCTATCTTTCAAAAATAAATTCAAAATTTTATCTTTTATCTGAACTGAGATATATGTAAAACATAAAATGTTGCAAAACTTTTATGACATCCAATAGTCCTTGGATAAATTCTGTCGGATTCTTGAGCCTATTCGATACTATCGTTCAATTTTTGAACGATTGTTAACCATCGAATTTCATTTGTAGAATCTACTTATATTCAGTAAAAGAAACTGATTGAATTTAACAAGAGTTAATTGTCTGATAGTTATCAAGAAATAAAAGATATTGCGAAAGCTTTATTTTCTGATGTTATGTCTTCAACCATGATATTGGAACTGAGAATATGTAAATAGACGAGTAATTCGCATTTCTTAACGTTATATTTCATACAGATATGTTCTACATCTATCATTGCCATTTCCGATTATTACGGCAAGAGAATTTCTCTTGAATGTAAAATAATTGAATGCACTTGTTTTGATCTTTAGGTATGGATTCAGAAAGTCTAGATTACTTTTTTTTAATCTTGCTTTTTTTTTAATGTTTGCCTTCTTATTTTTTATCTTAGATAATTATCAATATTATGCTATGCACCTATCTTTATAGTTTGTCGAAGATTTTATCTTCAAAGATATTTTTCAAATAGACTATTACTATGTATGGTTATTAAGACCTTGAATGCTAGCCTTTCTTTCTTCCTTTCTTTCTTTTCTCTATAATAGACCTGTACCAGCTTAAGTCGTATTATTCATAGGGATATGATTGACTGATAATGTTTTTGACAAATCATAATAATTTGACTAAAATTACCATTTTTCCTGAGATCTATTTTAAATACTATATGTATTGTTAACTTAAGAAAATGAAATCAAGATAAGAGTCTAACCCAGATATGCTTCAACAACAATATATATCTGTTATATAATAAATAATGAAATAAATAAATCAAATGATTACTATAGCATCATATTAAGGAAACCTTAAAGGACATTATATAGAGTCGTTGAGAGTATTGTGTACGTTCATTTACATTAGTTATGATATTCGATGTCATTAACTTTCTTATAAAAAACTGAACACGATCTTATCAGATTCCTAAGTTTTTTTTTTCGACATTTTTCATCTGTCGAAGTTGATATTCTACAGAACTTCTTTATTCAAATCTTGTACTAAGGAAAACAACAACGTCTGAAAAATATCCAATCAAAAATTAATGAATTCTTCGAAGTACTCTAAAGAGAGATATTCCGTCGTGGGATTGAGTTACTTTTAATATAATAGATATTAGCAACCTTAAAGTATATTATTTTCTACAGTTTTCTAACAATTTGATCAGAATCAACTGATATGATTTTTTCATAAAGTCGTTATATAGAATATGGCTGTATATCTTTTGCAGTAGAAGATCAAGATTTTATCACTTTTTCTATGCATATATAAAGACAATAAACTATATTATTAATATTTTGTAATCCCTTGGTATTTTCATGATAGAAAGTAAAAGAATAGAGTAGCAAATAGGATAAGTCTTTTCTAGTCTCTTGTCGATCTATATTCTTGCGATATTTTTTTATTTATTTATGTTGGTTTCTTCTATTTATATTATATCATTCGTGTAAAAAAATACGACAATGAAAGTGAATTACTTAAGTAGTTTCGACTTTTTTATTTATAATGATGACTTTGATAAGATGAGCATATTTGCTTGTAACTATACCTTTTAGTTTATAATATGTAATAATCATTTGAAGTCTATACGAAAATTGACAAGCATATTTCTAACCGGAAGATTACCATCATAGATTTTATCTTGTTAGTAAAACGATATTTGTCTTCGTTTTTTTTTTCCTTAAAGACATCGACGGTGTAATATAAAAGTGCAATCAATGGATGCAAATATTCACCGTATGAGAGAGAGAGGGAGAGAAAAAAAATGGCACGCATGTCTTAATGTGTGAAAATGAACATTTAATAAAAATATAAGATGACAAGTATTTTAAATGTGTATTGAAATACTAACGTCACTATCTTGTAAATCGTGCCGAATGAGAATTTTTCTTGTAGTGAGAATTTCCTCGTCTATCAAATAAAATTATTCTCGACAAAGATCGATCGATGATTTATGATAATTGAGAGCTTTGAATTCGTCACTACATACGTAATAGATATAAAAAAAAAACATAAAGAAGCACATATAAAGTAGGTGGTTGATTATCAACTATGTTTAATATGTTTGACATGCCAATGGAAATAATTTGTATATACCCCAACGAACAAGACATGTAAGTCTGTACGTTTATTTGTTTTTTTTTGACGTAGTTTTTCTTCCTCCTTTATTTTGTTTTTTTCCTCTCCCGAAAAGGATTAAATATACAGGTATATAAATACAGCACAATGGCAATCCGACATTACCTGTATGAATAAACGTTATCAGATTTTTCATTACTGACGAATATTTTTTTTTCTCAATTACATACCTATATATGCGTATTCATATTATTTTTTTTTTTTTTTGTAGAGATATTTTTTATCTAATCCCTAAAGCAGTATTATTCGTCCACAATGCCGAAATTCTTTATATTATCTAAGCTAATTACTTTGTTTTTATTCATTATTGCACTTGAATTATCAATTGAATTATCACAAGCAGCACCATTGAATAAACGTCGTACAGTAGATATGGATAGTCCCAATGATAATGAAGTACATCAACAACGTCGAATGTATGATTTAAACAAATTACGACATTTTCTATTAACATCAAGTGAAGCACAACGAGCTGCAAGACGAACTAAACAAAATTTGTATAAGCAGCAATTGGTTAGTGAAATTTGATTGTAATGAAAATAATCGCTTTTTTGTTTTTCATTATTAGGTTGGTGAATATTTTAAATTAGTTAATGACGAAAATTCAGATCGGTTACAAGAAGTGAAAAGTAAGTCGATTATGTTCTTTCTTGATTATTTAACCGGTTGAATGCATGAATGCTTATATACCACCTAACTCAAGCACGGTTCTACTAATACACTTAATTATTTAGAACGCACAACATACTGTAGTATTCAAGATATCTTGCACGGATCTCTTTGCCGTCGGCATGCTATTGATCATTAATCATATTTTATTTGGCTAATGAATGCACGAATAATACTAATATGTATTCTAAAACAAAAAGCTTCATCTACTTGCTGCCAACGAATATTCTTCTTTTCTTTTTGTGCTATATATTATTTGCTGCTTTAATTATAGTATAAATGCATGATTTTTAATAAAAAGAAGGTTTATCGTTTATGCCGCAGAATAAGAAATATTGCAAGTGCAATTAACGAATTCAATTTGCTTTCTTTCTTGATTTTTGTCTATTATATTACAAATATAACAGTTATTAACAAATTAAATAAAAAAAAATCCTCTAATTTGTCTTATTTTTTATAACGCTTATCAAAAATCAAATAGTTAGCTGATGTATAGTAAAAAAGAGATCCACATTCAAGCTTTATTAACAAGTTAATACTCTATGCTGTACTAACAATGAGTCTACAAAACAAAAATTTATTCAATTTGGAAATGCTAATAAAAACAGAATGAAAATGCATGTATATTTTTCTAGAACGTATCAAAACCTTCTGTACTACATATGACGATATTATTAATTCCGATCAAGCTGCGTGTGGATAATGTTTCTGCTATATTGTGATTTTCATATCAATATGTACGAACGTCATCAGCATCATGCATTTATACCAATTATTTTTCTTTTTTTTCTTTTGATTGTCAAACTTTTTTTCTTATCCCCAATTTCATCATATTCATGCAAGACCAACGCTTAAAACGCCTAACATATTCCTATTTGTTAGACTTCAATAAGGTGAATGTAAATATGAATATTAACCGACCGCCAACGCTTTCATATTTTAATGACCCAATCTGACGTTTTTTTTTCTATTAGTAAGCAACTTTATTCATATTTATGTGTGTATTGCATTTTTCATCTTTGCATAATTATTGCTATTTTTTTATTCACCTTAATTGTAACGATCAGTATTCTTACGATTTTTTTCATTGGCTAGAAAACGATAAAAATCAGTTTATTCTTCTACTCTTATAGAGCGTATGTGTACGAGTTGGGAAGAATTCAAAACCCATCGAGCTGCTTGTTTTGGTTAATATGGCAATAAAGTTATTTATTAAGCAAAAAGCCTATTTGAATTTTTTTTTCTCTGTTATTTTAATATCTTTTTTTATTTCACACGAAAAAAAAACGTCTCAAATAAGTAATTAATAACTATTGTGTATTTTTAAAAAGATGTAATTGACGTATCTGAAATTTGCTTGATAAATAATTTTGAATTGACTATTGCATTTGAATTAAAAACAACACTATCAATTGTCGATAGTGTTTGGATACGAAGTGTTTTCACTTTGATATATCTTGTATAACAAGTTGCTAATTAACGATGTTTATCTCGTGCTTCTTTCCATTTAATGTGAGAAAAATAAGCTTCTATAATTACCTATTAATAAGCAAAAAGTTAAAGAAAGTGAACCGTGACAAATGTTGAAGATACATTCTATGTTCTACGACGACAAATTTCAATAAGAAAAATATATGGAAACCAACCAAGACATAGTATTACTACTATCCAACCAAGCGCAAGTGCCTATGATGGATATGTATAATCATCTAATGTTATTTCTTGATAGAATAGAGAAAAAAACATAATTGTACATTAAGACATGTTAAATGAGTTTCACGGATGAATAAAGAATAAATATAATTACAAGAAGAATAATTGGTGTTACAAATTTTCAACATATTTGCCATAATTTACTTGGACGTTGTTCTTCACCTAATATTTATGCAATTTCATAACAAAAATTATCTATACCTAAAGAAAAAAAAACAATTATGCGAGAATGATTCTTTATTAGATTGGTTTTTTTTTCTTTGGCTATAAACCCACGCAATACAAAATAATTCACTCACACCGATGATTAGCCAAGGAAAGCCATCGAGAGATTAGTCAATTATATTCAAAACATACAGACCACTTTAAACAGTCAATATACCTATGTTGTTGATGATTGTTTTTTAATAATATACATACTCGGGTCACCTATGGACCAATCAAGTAGAAAAAAAACAAATGATACACAAAATCAAAATATAACAATTTTCTTTGGCGTATTTAAATATATTTTATATTCATCAATAATACGAGCCATTTTTGTTTCCATAATAGAAAACTAAATAAAGAAAAATTCATAAATTTAAAAAAGAAATTTAATTAATTAACTTCGGAACTAAAACCAAGTGTATACATCATTAACCCATTCGCGGCGACATGAATATTGCTTTTTCATAATTCATAGAAGCTTTCATCTCTTTATTTGTGCCAGTTGTAATACTTCAAAATAGTTTTTACCAACGTTTCTCTTATGAATATCAGCTATCAATTTCCCTTTATCTGTGGTAAAAGAATCAACCCCATTGGTCAAAATGTGGCAGAGATATTTTATATTTTTCTGCGATAAATGGGTTTTGGGTGACTCCATAGTGTGGCCCACCGATGGGCCACATCGCCTCGAATATGTTAAAAAGAATATAACACACCATAGAGGTGCAAATAGCATCATTGAAAGACCTTTCTGAAAGACAACAAATGCTAGACCAGGTTCTTTACAGAAAAAAAAGCTCAATTTCAAATAATAATAATTAAGAATATATTCATTTACCACCTTTAGCCACATCAGCAACACTCACATCCATTTTTATAGCCATATGATCTTTAAACAAATAAATAAATTCATTGAATTAAGAATAAGTTCTTATCTAATATAATAAAAATTACAAAACCACCAAATATACTTGTAAACCATGTAACAAGACAAATAGACGAAGTATCATTAAATATAGTACAAGAAAACAATAAACATCCTAGAATTTTCAACATATCTCATACCGATAAACATTATTATTAAAATCATTAAATGATGCCATTACAATAAGACCCCCCCACTATAACAACTTAATGCACAAAAATACTTGCGTACATACATCTTTCCATACCTACCATTCTTTAAAAACAAAAACAAAAACAAAAACAGAACGCATTCAATAAAATGTATTGTTTTTTTTGTTGAATATTCAAGTCATCTTACAGAGGAATTTTTTAATGCACTGAAATTAACTGTTCCCATATATAATTTAATACCTTCAATAGCACCACTCAATGTTGCTTCACGAATAATTAAGACAATTAACATTACATAAGGAAATAAAGCATTAAAATATGCAACCTATAATAAATTATGAAATCGATTTCTTTTATTTATTATTGAACACATAATAATTTTTACGTTGCCCAATGATGGAACACCTATTGATAATGCCAAAAAACAAATAAGCTAAGTAACAGCTAAAGCAACAGCTAATTCAATAACAATATCATTTGTATTTTCGATTTTACTACTTACCTGCAGTATTCGACGACTTAGACAAAACAAAAAAAGCTTGTTAGCGCAGCTTCTTCAGAGCTGAAATGTGGAACTCACGTATATCCTTTAGTCTTGTTATCCTAATACATAATCCGTAAACTGAAAAATTCTCGTCGACTGTAGTTGTTTTCACTAATAATCGATGGCAAGAGCGAGAATTTATTATTTATTTCTACATTTAAAATAGAAATTTTTTTTCTACAAGCACCTTATTTTTTTGTTTGCATTGTTGCTATTCGCTCATTATTTTTTATTTTTTTTATTCGTGTTTTTTTAATTTAATATTCTTATTATTATAATCATTGAATCGGCAAATAAGTCTGTTTTACATATCCATGATATCTACAGCACATCTTATGCACTATTATATATATGTTAATTAACTCACAGATAATGATGTTGACTAATCTTCAAAATTATAACTTGAGCAATTTTTCAAACTCTAGAAAACCTAACACATTTTATTCTCCATCGCTAAAGTCTATAATGGAGATTGTCTGTAATGGGGACCTCGTTGCTATGGTCTGTAAGGGAGTAGGGAGTCGCCAAACCTCGAACTTAAAACTAATACTCACTATTTTCTTCGAAAATATACGTGAGTTCCACAAAATAAATTTGATTAACCTAAATACCCTAAAAAAAAACACTGTTACTAAAAGTATTCATCACTAAGCGAACTTGTCATATCTAAAAATACATATTTTATTGACTAAATAATAAAGATAAACAATACTTTTCATCGAAATAATATCAATTTGACTTAAAGTAGCTAATGTTTCTTTTTTTATTAGTACATAATAATGTATTCTACCAATTATTACAAGTTGATTATGGAACAATAAGTTGCAACGATGCTATTAGCTAATAAAAACAATAAACAATGAGTACCATATAATATAGACTCCAAAAATAATTTATAGCCATTGATACATAATCAATACCTATAATAACTATAGAACAATAGTTCAGATAATAAATTACATTTGAAAGTTTATCAATCCGAAATAAATGTACTGTGATATTCTTTTGTCATTCGTTCCATATTCTAGTTATCTTTTAACATCAGACTCCATCACAAATATATCAGTATGTTTGAAATCTTAAACTGAAGCATATGTTACAAAATCTCTCGATTTATAATATATGCGAATCAATCATGTGTTACATTTTAATCACATCAAGATTGTGATAACAGTGATTTTTTAATAATATGAAACAAACCTCGTAATAATGGATTGACGTTCCAAACAGCTAGTGGACCAGCACTAGTAAATTGTTCTAAAGTTAATTCAAGATAGAAAACAAGTGCACCAATAAAAATAAGCATTAATGTGTATGGTATCAGAAATGCATCTGTAATATAAACAATAAATAGGAAGAAATTATTGAATTCTTTATTTTTATCTCCTCTATTTTTAAAACAAAGATATGAAAAACGTCAAACATTTCCTAAACCGACAGCTAGAATAAGTATGAAAAAATAATTTCAAATTTCTACAATATTAAGACTTGTATACGGACCAAATGCTACCAATGTTAAAAAGAATTCAATAGGATTAGTCCATTGTTTACGCTAGATATCATACACAAGAATCAATTTACGAATTTTAGATGTTGACTTAATCGATTACTAACCTCTGGTGAAACAACATTATTTGAATCCATCTTAAATGCAGAACTTGTAAAACGACTGACAACTGATAAGATGTTTTGTCTAAAAATGAATGTTTATGTAAAACAAAAAACAAAGATCAAGAAAATAATAATTCAGTACATTTTTCAAGAATAGAATCATACTTAATCTTAAAATGATTCATAAGAGAATCTCCTACATAATCTATTTAAATGGCATTGACAAAAAGAAAAATAAGTGTAATCTTAGGATTATTATGATCAACTATTATAAAAAAAATGAAGAGAAATATAGATAATAAAAAGAGCATGATCTCTTTGAAGAACCTCTTTATTTGACAAAAATGTCATTTACATATCATAACAATTGTAAATGTAAATTACTTCAAATTAACAAGTACTTTAAAATTCTACAAAGAAAATGATTTGTTAACGATCATATGTTCGTTGGCAAAATTCTTTTTTTAATTTGAGGGAAAAAAAACATACTGTATATCTAACAGGTGAAAAATCAATATACAATATAACTTTTTCTATTTTTATATTTAAAGGAAATGTTTATTATTATTTTATTTGAAAGAAATTTTCGATACAATTTCTTCACGAATACTTGAACTGTTCATCGAGGTTATAGAATAAGTTGTAAGTTAATAATAATATACTACTCATTTATAACAATGGATGTATCAATATTGTCATTGAAACTTATAAATAAATATATTCAAGAATCATAAAATGCTGATAACTTCTAATTCATGAGTGATAAAAAATTTTTTCTTTTTACTAAAATGTGTAGTTACGACTCTCCTTTATGTTCCTTATGAATTTGAAGTGCTAGCTCTTGATAATTACTGAAATATAGCTTTTTTACGATCGAGAATTACTTCTAAGATTTGAGACTTCTTCCAAAAGAATTCATGTATTAGCCTAGGAATATGATTTTCATTTCAAAATTGCATTTGATATTCTAGAATGTCTTTAGATTATTTATACATAATATCAGGATCAATTATTGGATAGTCCAATAAGTTTATTGAAAATAAGCACCAACTATTGAGGCATACCTTAGGCGGCAAGGGGAGCAAGGAAGAGTCGTCCATTGTACTATAGTGTTTGGCATGAGTGAATTTTACGAGACCCGGTTTGAGTATAACTGGACTCGATACAATATCAAAGATAGTTTTCAACCAATCAAAGTGAGTTTTTTTTCAGAGATTAAACAACTTTTTTTCGGTGAATACATAAGAGTTCTCTCAAAATTGAAAAGAACAAAAACATAATATCATCTAGAATTGCTATTTGTCTTATGTGAACTTTGACATCAATCAACTCACTGTGACTCGACTTGACCCGATTCATATTGTGTTAGACTATATATTCAAGATTAGCACACAAAAATTTATCATCACATTTCGATATCTTTTTATGTTGACAAATTATTCAAAGATACAGAAATTTGAAAAATTCGTACTTTATAAACTACACTGGAACTCAAAGGATTAAATCATGTTTAATTCTAAATTGGATACAATGAAAGTATTCAAATTTTAATGCATTTAACGTTCCGATATTATGTTCATCCATTGAGATGTTGATGACATTGTCGACTTATATATTGCCGTTGATGCATCTTTTCTATCAGTAGTTGTCTCTATACTTATCTATTTAATCATCATAATTTTTACTTATAATACACCAAACTTACATTCTCTAACATGTTAGCTTATGTTCAATATATTTTTATGTACTCTATTTTATTCTATTATTTCGACACGAAATAATTTTATCTTTTTGATTGTACCAACATCAACCAATTATCGTATCTATTCTGAACTCTATTATATATATATATCGATACTTAATAATAATAATTTAATATCTGATTATTTTTCGTACATTTAAAAACATATTTATTCCAAATAAAAAACAAAATTCATAAATTTATCTGCTAATTATTGGTTATATCATTCTCCTTTCAAATGTTATTTTTCTTTGCCTTAACGACGCCATTCACACTATGATAGCTATTATAAAAAATTATTGTTGTTGTACTCAATAAAAACATTTGGAAAGCATTAAAATAACGATAGATCATATATTTTTCCATGTGTTTATTATCTTCTACTTGTGTCGAACCATTTCCAGCTGTTAACAGTGTAAAGAAGATAAATTTTTAGGTACGTTATGCGTGAGTATAACTAACACGACACGAACTCTCTAATGTCATCAAAATATTCGAGTTGCAAGGCAACAGATTCCATAGAAAACAATGTTATTAAAAACTGGATTTTCCTTCTACAATGCCAAATGAAGCTTTTTTTCTTATAATGTCTAATATCCTCTTGATGTAATGGATTTTTGTAGAGTGACCATTAAACTTCAATCGGACATAAAATATGAATTTCACTAACTTCGATTGCTAGAAAAAATCTTATTTTTCGAAATCATTTATTAGTTGTGAACATTCTTTGCTAGCAAAGACCATTAGGAAAAATATCAATTTTGAATTCAATTGATAACTGGAAATTTTTATTTTTACCTGTTTACAATACTCTATCGTAGCGCTACAAAAATCGATAAAAGACAAAAAATAAGAGCAAATTCCTTAGTAGATGAAAGTTTTCTTCTAAATTCCAACAGCGCGTAGCGAAATTTTCTAATAGAAATGTTGGTTTTGCATAGATCAAAAGAAAATAATTTTTTCTATGAAATAGTATTTTATTACAAGTCAATATGACCAGGAGAACTTGCTTTTGAAATGTCGTTGTCAAAATATGGATCAAGAAATTCATTTGTTTGCTCAACTGTTCGATCAACAATCATTGACATACTTGGATGATCATCTCTATCTCTTCTGTCGAGTGCGAAAAACTGCAGATCTCTATATTGTTCCTATCGAAAGTTATTCGAAAAACATTCGAGTCTAATTATTAGAAATATGTTTCGCGTCTATCAATTGAATATACATAATTATGATAAACACTTTTATTTCAGTGATTGCGATAAATATCAATAAACAAATCGATATTGCAAAGCCACATTTATTTTGTTGAACAATGTCATTAGAACAGACTGCATAGTTCGACGATCATTTTGTGCCTTGTCGAAAACTTTTCGAAACTGTTTCTTGTTTGAGACCGAAAACTATCTAATGGTGTTTAAAATTCATCAGTAACCATTCATTAGGTTTCAGTTTGGTTATTTCTTTTACAATAAATTTAATATCAATCTTCTTTTTTTCATCAATTCACTCTTCACTGATGACATACTCTATAGATAATCTGAAGCAAGTAAAAGTCGCAAAGTAATCAGAGTGCATAAATAATAAGACATTGTTTTATAATATTTTCTTATCGAACAATAAATCCCACCGATATTATTACAGGATGTATCCATATTAAAATAATTTAGAGACAACGATTTTTTTTTGTGTTCAACTTTAAGCATTCTCTCATATTGTTATACATTGAATTGATGTTACTATAGCAAGTAGTTGGTGATGATGACGATGTGTAGAAAGAGTTTCTCAAGATGAAAATAGCAGATTCTGTACTCTCAAGGATTTGTGATTCGGTTGTTTTCCTCTTGATTAATATCCAAATATTAAAGCTACTATTTGCTATAAAAGTATGGTAACTCTATTTTTAAATATATGGCAAAATGTGATCAAGAATGAGTTTCTATCATAATTTACACGAATTCTCACGACTTAGAATGAGGCAAAAACGGCTTGTTTGTGAAATCAAATCGACCATTTTTTCGAATTATATTAGAATCGGCAGTATGGATTTTTTTTTTGAGATATCGAAATCAGAATCGTCTATCCCTATTCTCTTCATTGCAAACAAACGCTACAGGACAGATGTGGGAAAAGTCTTCCTTTATTAGAATATTCTTTTGTAATAACTACACAATAGTTCAATTTCAAAATATCGATGCTAATGGATGCTTTTGGTATGAAGTAGAAAGGTCGAAACTAGGAATTATCGAAAAAAAAAACTTTATATACAGATTTGACCTTCGAAGTCCTGAAAAGTGGAAAGTTTCTCGCAAAAATCTGGTTGTAATTAGTCGCTCATTACAAAAAAAGTAAGTAAGTTATCAAATAGTGTTTGTTGATTATTTTGATAAAAATTCTTTGTTTCTTTCTTGATCGACAAATAAGTAAGTGAGAAATACATTTTTGTATAGTAAAATATTGTTTTAATGTTAGTTTCAATCGTTGATATTGATAAATAGCAACAAGTATTTGTAATTCATGATTTCGAATATTACCTAAACGCTTTAGTGTAACTCTTCTAGAACGATTTTTAAGTGTTAAAAGGATCAAAATTTCATGTAAGTCAGTATTAGTCTTATAATGTAGACAACAGATAATGCATAGGCATATTCTATAAAATGTGTGATATTTTTTGTCGAGTTTCGATGGAACATTATACATATATAATAGAGATTCAACTAAAATGAGGCTATATAAAAACAGAGAAAAATATATGGGAAAGTGTGTGTTGATATATTCAAGAATGGTGAATGCATTATTCATTTTGATTACTCAGATCAAACAATCCTATTAAAAAATCTTGTACGATTTTATAGCGCAATCTTAAAGTCACTATATCTGATTAAAGTGTACTATACAACTCTTGTATGCTCATCATGTTAGGACTTATACAATTCATGTATGATTTTATAACG